TGAACACCACACTGTGTTCTAGGTGCTGCAGGACTGCAGAAGGGCAAGTGAGAGACCAGATCCCTTTCCTGAGGGCGTCTGAAATAATAACCGTAGTAACTAAGTGGGCACAGTACACATGAGGGGGTGCTGAGCCCCTGAGGGGGTGTGGAGAGCTGCTGGGGAGGACAGTTTAAATCAGGAGACAGAAGGGGGTTGCTGATGGCGACCAGCAGGTGGCGTGGTGGTTAAGGCGCTGGACACTCCCACATGGCCGACCAGGGTTCGAGTAATCTGGTGACTTGCTTTCTCACTTCCTTCCTCTGTCACTCTCACCCTCTGTCTCTCTCTGGTCAAATTAAAAAATAAATGAATGAATAAATAAAATAAATATATATTTTTTTAAAAAAGGAAGTTGCTGATATCTGCTCAAAGGTGTCATGGTCACAGACTGGAGAGAGAGAGAGCACGGCCGGGGTGGACACCTAGGGGCAGGAGCATCTCCAGGTGTTCTAGAAGCAGGAAGGGAGAGCTCAGCCCCACAGACTCTCGGACAGCAGACGTCCCTGGGAGAGCCTCTGGGAGAGCCCCCCACCAGGTCTCTGACTCTCTCATCTCTCCTTCTCTGAGGGGGTTTCCTCTCTCCTGTCCTTTTTTTAAAATTGTGATAAAATGCATATAATACAAAATTAGCCATTAATGGGAACCAGCAGTTAGCATAATGGCTATATCGCTGGACTCCCATGTAGTCGACCGCGGTTTGCATCCCGGACCCGGTGGCTTAAAACTCACGCCGGGCGCGTGTGCGTGCGTGCCCAAGATCCTGAGAGCAGAATGGAGGAGAAGGGATTGCGGCGTGGCCATCACCCCTGGGGGGTGATTTCTCGCTTTCTGTCTCTGTGTCTCTCTGTCTGGCAAGCGCATGCGCCCTATAGCAAAAACCTCTCCAAAAAAATAAAATTAGCCATTAACCATTTTTTTAAAATTATTTAATTTTATTGATTGATTCATCTATTTTAATTTGACCAGAGAGAGAGAGAGAGAGAAAGTGAAAAAGCAAGCCACCAGGTCTGGGACTCGAACCCTGGTCAGCCATGTGGGAGTGTCCAGCACCTTAGCCACCATGCCACCTGCTGGTCCCGCTGTTAACCATGTTAAAGTATCTGATCCAGTGGCATTCAGTCCGTTCGCAGGGCGGTGCCACCATCCCTTCCACCCTGTTCCCAGTCATTGTCGTCACCCCACCAGGAAGCCCTCTTCCCTAACCCCCCACCCCCACCCCGCCCTGCTAATCGCCAGCCATGTTCTGTCCCTGGACGTGCCCGTTCTGGGTGTTAAACATGAATGGCATTGTACAACATGTGACCTGACCCTCTGTCCCACCTGTTCCACTTTACATGACATTTCCGAGGTGTGTCCGCACCGAGCGCGCCCGGGGACCTCGGGCTGAGCGTTACTCCAGGGTGTGGGTACACCACCCCTTGTGCATCTGCTCATTCGTTTATGGACGTTTGAGTCGTCTACACGTTTTGGCTCTGCGAATCATGTTGGTATAGACGTTTACCTGCAGCATTCTCAGTGATTTGAGATATATACCCAGGAGTGGAATTGCTGGGTTATATGACAATCTCTGTTTAGCTCTCTGAAGAATATCAAAGGCTTTTTCTTTTCTTTTTTCTTTCTTCGGCTTTTGCCATAGGGTGTGCATGCTCGCTGGAGAGAGACAGAGAGGGAAATTGAGAAATCACTCCCCAGGGGATATGGCCATTCTGCAATCCCTCCTCCGTTTTCCTCTTGGAATTTTGGGCATGCACACACACACACACCCCTGACGTGTTTTCCAAGCCACTAGGCTCAGGACTCGAACTGCGCCGTCAGCCACATGGGGTCCAGCTGCCTTTGCCTCTGTGCTACCTGCCGGCCCCTCAGAGTCTTGTTCTTTCTTTTCTTTCTTTCTTTCTTTAGTAGATTTTACTGTGGAGTGCATACACTTGCTAGAAAGGCAGAGAAAAGGCAAGAAATCACAGCCCCCACCTCCA